TTTTCTCTACATCTACCCGCGATCCTTTTCTCTACACCTAGCCGCGACCGTTTTCTCTACACCTACCCCAACCGTTTTCTCTACACCTATCCGCGACCATTTTCTCTACACCTACCCCGACCGTTTTCTCTACATCTACCCCAACCTTTTTCTCTACATCTGTCCGCGATCTTTTTCTCTACACCTACCCCGACCTTTTTCTCTACACCTATCCCGACCGTTTTTTAAACACCTACCCAGACCGTTTTCTCTACACCTATCCGCGACCATTTTCCCTACACCTATCCGCGACCGTTTTCTCTATACCTACCACGACCGTTTTCTCTACATCTATCCGCGACCGTTTTCTCTACACCTATCCGCGACCTTTTTCTCTACACCTACCCAGACCTTTTTCTCTACACCTACCCGCGACCGTTTTCTCTACACCTACCCCGACCGTTTTCTCTACTCTACACCTTTACCCTACTGTTTTCTCCGACCGTTTACCCGCGACCTTTTTCTCTACACCTATCCCCGATCGTTTTTTCTGCACCTATCCGCGACCGTTTTCTCTATACCTATCCGCGACCTTTTCTCTACACCTACCCCGACCTTTTTCTCTACACCTATCCGCGACCGTTTTCTCTACACCTACCCCGGCCGTTTTCTACTTACACTTTACCCCGACTTGTTTTAACTTTGTATTAAAGTTGCTGTTAACAGAATGTTCCTTTTGTACAATATTTTCAGCATATTTTCAACACTATAATTTATATGATATTATCTTCAGAGGAATAAAATTGTGTTTTTTCTATTGTTCAAATTCTTCTTTAGTCGTAATAAAACTGTTTCTCTATTGTCCAAATTCTTGTTCAGTCGAGATAAAAGTGTGTTTCTCTATCTAACACATTCTTGTTCAGTAGAGATAAAAGTGTGTTTCTCTATCTAACATATTCTTGTTCAGTCGAGATAAAAGTGTGTTTCTCTATCTAACACATTCTTGTTCAGTAGAGATAAAAGTGTGTTTCTCTTTCTCACACATTCTTGTTCAGTCGAGATAAAAGTGTGTTTCTCTATCTAACACATTCTTGTTCAGTAGAGATAAAAGTGTGTTTCTCTTTCTCACACAATCTTGTTCAGTCGAGATAAAAGTGTGTTTCTCTATCTAACACATTCTTGTTCAGTCGAGATAAAAGTGTGTTTCTCTTTCTCACACATTCTTGTTCAGTCGAGATAAAAGTGTGTTTCTCTATCTAACACATTCTTGTTCAGTCGAGATAAAAGTGTGTTTCTCTATCTAACACATTCTTGTTCAGTCGAGATAAAAGTGTGTTTCTCTTTCTCACACATTCTTGTTCAGTCGAGATAAAAGTGTGTTTCTCTATCTAACACATTCTTGTTCAGTCGAGATAAAAGTGTGTTTCTCTATCTAACACATTCTTGTTCAGTCGAGATAAAAGTGTGTTTCTCTATCTAACACATTCTTGTTCAGTAGAGATAAAAGTGTGTTTCTCTTTCTCACACATTCTTGTTCAGTCGAGATAAAAGTGTGTTTCTCTATCTAACACATTCTTGTTCAGTAGAGATAAAAGTGTGTTTCTCTTTCTCACACATTCTTGTTCAGTCGAGATAAAAGTGTGTTTCTCTATCTAACACATTCTTGTTCAGTCGAGATAAAAGTGTGTTTCTCTATCTAACACATTCTTGTTCAGTCGAGATAAAAGTGTGTTTCTCTATCTAACACATTCTTGTTCAGTCGTAATGAAAGTATATTTCTCTATTTTACAAATTTTACTTCAGCCAGAATAAAATTGTGCTTCTCTGATGAACAAATTCATCTTCAGTCGTAATGATAATACGTTTCTCTATTGTACAAATTCTACTTCAGTCGTAATAAAATTGTGTTTCTCAATTGTTCAAATTCTACTTCAGTCGTAATAAAATTGTGTTTCTCCATTGTCCAAATTCTTATTCAGTGGTAATAATAATGTGTTTCTCTGATGTTCACCTTATACTTCCGTCGTATTAAAATGCGTTTCTATGTAATTGTACACATTTTACTACAATCGTAATAAAAGGATGTTTCTTTATTATACACATTTTCCTTCACCTGTAGTTTAATTACGGTTTACACAGACTTTTCTTTTTTCAGTGATTCACCGATGTTAACATTTTTGTATGATAAAGTATGAAGTTAATTTTAAGTTTTCATATGCCCTTAAAACATATAATAATCATAAAAATCTTTTTTTTTTATCGCCGTCAGTTTGCGTGGTACATCATCAGTAAAGGAGGTAGAGGACTCTACATTGGGGACCTAGTATTTCAGAGATCGATAACCAATCAATATTTACACTTGGACTGTTAAAGTTAAGCAGGAAATCACAAATCATACATAAAGTATAATTTAACTATATATATGCATTCTGTATGTGATTTCTTAACACAGCATCTAATTATTATTTTCATAATGTGAAAAAGATAAAAATTATGAAAAAAGAAGACTGAATTATGGACAAGGTCAACATGACAATCCACAAAATCAGTAAATGTATGCTAACAGATATTCAACATGCAAAACAAAAGATTTGTTTTTCATTCTTTCAGAACAGTGTTACAAACAGGGGCAAATTTTAACCTATAGCTTTGTGTACATGACTTGTTCACGGTGGGAATATGTCGTTTGGTTATAACTATAGATGACATATCGCTTGCCAATTTTCAATGTAATTTATTCATCAATTGACAGTTTCAGTTAGTATATATATATTTATTCCATAGGTTTTTTAAGTTCATTTAATCAGAAATGTCCAGTTAAACGTTTGCTGTATATATTTCAGGTGTTAGTGAACAGTCAGGCGATCGATCTAAAGCTTAGACAGAAATGTTCATTAACCTCATCTTATTCATTAAGCAGAAATAGTAATTTGGAGACAGCATGCTAAAATTTATAAACAATGTTTGCTCCCTTTGAAAAGAGTATCTGTTTACTACAGTTTATACATATAATGTAGGAACAATGAACTAAAATTACATATCGGAAGTTCGAGAGACAGAAAACGCTCATCCTTTTAGAATACCGCCCTCATCTCAATTGTCAAAGGGTTGTAAAACTTTCCTTTGCGAATACCTTCCCTTAATTTTATCGATATTTTGAAATTATAGTAATGACGTTCCAATACTTTAACAAGTACGTCGTTAACGTCTATGGGATTTATGTCTCGAAAACTCTTAATGAAGGTTAGGTTTCATCCTAGAGCTTCCAGCAGAGCATCGTTAATGAACACTACTGAATCACGAAGATGTCTGGATTTCAAGTGACCAACGTTGTCAAAGATGGCAATTCACGTTACCACTTTCCAAGTGTAAAGAAAGAACTATGAATATTTTTACAGTTAATTCGATGAAATAGCACATTAACTATAAATGATAATCGATGTGAAATAGAGAGAGCACGGGCATGCAAAAAAGAAGCATTCAGACAAATGAACTAAAAAACAAGAAGTCTCGTCGAAAATATTTTTTAGGAAATTTGCGGACCAAAGTCTGACTAAGCTTTCTTAACGAACAATAAGTCTAATGATCTGTACGGAAACATCACGTGAACAAAATAAGTGGCAAATCTGGTGGTTCTTACGAGCGGAATTCATTCTCGAAACCACGTGTTTCCGTTCATACAGACATGTGTGAACTCAAAGGGGATCCAAACATTCATGCCAAGGCTGAATGGTGTTATTATGAAGGTTTATTTGTCAGAGCTTTGTTAGAAGCTAGAGTAGACGAGTAATAGTTTGCCAATTTCAACAACGCATGAAAAACACTTCTTTAATATGGCTAATAAACTACATTCAGTAAAGCAGTCTCCGCAAACACTTTGAGAGGCTCAAACATTTTATTTATCATTTTATTATTTATCATTTTATTATTTTAACATGTTAAAATTGTTGAAAATAACTATTTTTCACCACCAAGGAAAGTACACTCGCGCTAAATACATACAAAGTCCTTAGATACGGAAGTCTGGTAACTAAGGATTTAAGCATTCCATGTTCAAGCGAACAGAATCAATATAATACTATAATGTGTCAATGGAAAGCAAAACCCTATGGAGAAATACGTTTCAATTGGAACAGTTCTTCCGAGCAGATAAGCCCAATAAGTCGTTTCAAGTCGTCATACAGTAAAGGGAATTATGCCTTTTGATAGCTTTAGATATCAGAGTAGATGAAGAATCACGTGTGTATGTCTTGGTCGACCATTAGAGGGATATCTTACAGGACGAGATGGCTTACTGGAACAAACGAGGAACAAGGGCTATAAAATGAAAACTTGTTGATCAGATGGGCCCGATACACGAAAACCTTGGGAAAACAGGAAGTTTGGAAAAGTGGACACGGATCTGAAGTGTATTAGGAATAGTGGAGCTTGATTTCGATTTGAAACCTTGGAAAGAAGTGGCACATAATGTAAACAATCGCTTGGAGGGTTGAAACATGAAGGACGTCTTTCTATGCTGTCATTTTGAGCAATATTCGTTGTGCATATTCTACTATTTGTACTCTTCTCTATTTTACAACTATATTTCTGTACATGTATCTCTATTTGTATATTCTCTTTTATTCCCGAATCTTTATTTGGTTTTACATATGTCCTAGTCTAGAATGTGTTTTACACATTCTATTCTACTCTGGAACCATATTGATACTTTTGTACTTACATATTCTATTCTACTCCAGAATTATATCAATGTATCTGTATAGTTAGAGATTCCATTCTACACTAGAACCATATTCATACACATTCTATTCTACTCCAAGAATCTGTATTTGTATTCTATATTTTCTGTTCCAAGTCAAAATCATGCCAATCAATGTTTTATACGCGTTCCTCTCATTTGTTGATATTCCAGTATCTCCTTTTTCGCTCATGATAGATATAAGAGCGTCAAAAATTTAGACATGACGTTAGGAAATGTATGATTGTATGTGTAACACATACATTGTGCTTTTTTATAGGATATGGACGCAAATATAAGTAAGGAGACAATCGGTCGTCTGTCCAGCTCAGGTTACTTATGTGTAGGGCTTTACCTGACATTACTAGGTAAGTACATTTAAACCATTGTTGTGTTGATCTGATAGATGTCATTATTCCATTTCATCAGCATCAAATATTATCAATATATCACACTTGATTAATTTGATAAATAGAATTTCAATATCACGACATCCTAATATAATAGCACAAATAACAAACACCAGGGTTAATCTGAAACCGAATAAAAAATCTTAAGACTAGCATCACATGCGTATTGATTATTTCATTGACAACAACATTGTAAATCATGTGGGTGTATCTGTTTTCTCTTTTTTTTTTACAAAACCAAACTGATATATGAGTGAATCATAATGTGTTTATCCTGCGTCGTTTCTTTTTTTATTTGCTATTTTTAAGCAATAAGAAGTGCATTAGGAATTTCACCCGAATCTCTGTTGTGTATTTTTTTCTATTCAGAGCGAAATAGAATCAAAATTAACATATCAGTATCAAGGGATCGACTATTTTTGCAAACGTGGCGGAATATGTGTGTTCAGTGATATATCGACGTTATTTTGACGTCATGACAAATCAGGCCGTACGTTCAACTAGAATATGGCACGGACATCATATGATAAAAATAGGATACACGAGTTTGGTAAAATTTCAAGACTTTTTTTCACTGGTATGGGGTAGGCATTTTTTGCCTCATTTTGGGAAGAACATTGTTGGATTTTGAAGGGAATTTTCAGGAGTTTTGGGAATTTGGCTTCAATATGAATCTAGTTCAGTTTGGAAGAGGGCCCAATAATTACAGCTACGCAGCGCGAGTTAATATATCTTAATAAAGTTAGTGAAGAAACGCATGGTGAGTACGGAGAATGTAATGTAAATGAAGGCGCCTTAATGCACAGATGTTTTATTCGGTTTCATTGTGTTATTGGGTTAAGTAAGTGTGAATTACTCAGGAGGTGAGCTCAGTGTAAAATTGGTATGCCTCCTACATTATCACCTCATGGAATTGACACACATATCAGAATTTTATCTAATGATAACAATTAGTATCTTTTTATTTTCCATTAACACCTTTTTGGAAATTATCACATGCATATCCATAATTTCACTGCTAAAGACCATTCATTTCTGTTAATTTATTTTTTAACATATTGGTTATTTTTAGTGTCCTCTGAAGTACATGTTATAATTTTCATTTTAATATTTGATGGGATTTGTCCAGCTTGCGCACTTTTTAAAAATTCTTTGGTCCTTGTAAGTCCCTACCATGCGACAACGTCAAGCGTCATTTCGAATGTTGGCAGTGATAATGAAATAAAAAGAAATAAGGAATTTCCTTTCACCATCAGCTTTATGCCAGGTCTCTATTAATGAAAGTTTACACGTCAGTTTGACTTAATATTCCAGAGGCATTTCTTTACAATTTTAGTATCCAGATGATTTCGCCCTGTGACATATTTAACCCAGCTCTTCTGCCAAACAAGATTCACTATACGCTAGCAAATAGGTCAAGGCGTCTTCTCTTATCACCTAATTCATTAGTGAGGTGGTAACATTTCCAGGTATTACGACAACCACCGAAATATTGTTATAGTTCAGTTGCTTTATTAGAAACTTTTGTCATATTTTCTTATTCTAACATGGTTTTACATTTTTTCTTTTATACTCTAATCGTGCACGTCACCTGTGTTGTCTCCCGGAGGCGGTGTGCGAGTTCGAGAAAGGAGGATCCTATTGTATTTAACAAATTTCTTTCTAACATGAACTTTTTGCATGTATTCAATGCCATGTCTGTGGTATGATTAATTACAGGTTTATCGTCAATACTCTGTAATGGATTTGTAATCCTAGTTCTCATCAAAGCTAAACCTAAATATAACGTGATGCACAACGTTCTGCTGCTGAACATGGCGGTGACAGATCTCCTCATCTCCTTGGTTGCGTATCCTATGTCCGCTACTTCCAGCCTTAACGGCAGGTAATGATCGCTTTAATATATATTCTATTACAATTATATCTCACTACTTGACATTAATACTGAAGAACACGCAATGTTAGTAGATCAATCCAGAAACTTTTGAAAACATAATCTAAAAAATGACAATATCTTCATATTTTTCTAAATTAATTTCGTTGTACGGAATCATGTTTTGTATAATTATGATATTGACGTTAACATCTTGCCGTGTAAGAACATTGATATTACCTCAAACAGATTACGTTTTATAGTTTTATATGTACATTTTTCCTTTCTGGTGTTGTTTATTATCTAATGTTTGAGATCGGTAAGGTTCAATGTTATCAAAAAACTCTTCCAGTGTCAGCTAGAATCACCTATCATAATTGTTTTATTCTACCATTTATTGATTATTGCTCAAATATATGGTGGCACTGCTCACAGAAACTAGTAAAGAAACTTGAGCGAGTCCAAAAAAGAGCACTACGGATTATTTTGGATGTTTACTAGAGTGTTCCTAGTGCACAATTATTTGTCAAATTAAAGTGGTTGCCTTTCACCCACAGAGTTAAATACAATGAGTGTGTCTTAATGTTTAAGACAATGAACAACCTATGTCCTGATTATTTCAAATGTCACACCCCAGTAAGTAGTGTCCATGCAATTCAAACAAGATATTCCACAATGGGGAATTTTCTTTATACAAAAACACAAAACAGCTAAATACAAAAACTCCTTTAAATATAATGGGCCAACTCTCTGGAATGAGCTTCCAACAACTGTCACTGACAGTAAGTAACTTAGCTCCTTTAAAGTAAAATGTGGGAAGCATTTTAATCAAACCTATAGACAGATTAACTAGAGTAGTCAGTGACTTAATTATCCTTGGCTTATGTTATACTGCTGGTTTTGATGTTATACATTCCATGTATTGAATTATGTATCTTTTTTTTTTTTTTTTTTTTTTTTTTTTTTTAGACTTTTAGCTTTCCATTTTGCTAGCTGTTATTATATATATAATCATAACATTCAAGCGGTCTCTTGTTTTAATCCACGCTATATTAGCGTATATTCTGGTAAATCTTACACTTTGCCACATTGGCATATACATGTATGTATATTGGACACTTAGGTATTTAGTGTTTATAATCGTACTTTATATGCGACATGAGCTCTTATGTATTGTTTATTATTTATTGTAGGAGATCGGCTAGGTACAACGTTACTTACTGGTGTTGTTTATTATTTATTGTTGGATATCGGTTAGGTACAATGTTACTAACTGGTGTTGTCTATTATTTATTGTTGAAGATTGGTTAGGTACAATGTTACTTACTAGTGTTGTTTACTTTTTATTGTTAGAGCACGGTTAGGTACAGTGTTACTTACTGATGTTGTTTATTATATATTGTTAGAGCTCGGTTAGGTACAATATTACGTGCTGGTGTTGTTTATTATTTATTGTCAGAGCTCGGTTAGGTAAAATGTAATTTCCTGGTATTGTTTATTATTCATTATAAGAGCTGGGTTAGGTACAATGTTAATTACTGGTGTTGTTTATTATTTATTGTTGGAGATCGGTTAGGTACAATGTTACTTACCGGTGTAGTTAATAATTTATTGTTAGAGCACGGTTAGGTACAGTGTTACTTACTGGTGTTGTTTATTATTTATTGTTAGAGCTCGAATAGGTACAACGTTACGTACATGTGTTGTTTATTATTTATTGTAAGAGCTCGGTTAGGTACAATGTTACTTACTGGTGATGTTTATTATTTACTGTTGGAGATCGGTAAGGTACAATGTTACTTTCTGGTGTTGTTTATTATTTATTGTTGATAATCGGTTAGGTACAATGCTACTTACTGGTGTTGTTTATTATTTATTGTTGGTGATCGGTTTGGTACAATGTTACTTACTGGTGTAGTTAATTTGGTATTGTTAAAGCACGGTTAGGTACAGTGTTACTTACTGGTGATGTTTATTATTTACTGTTGGAGATCGGTAAGGTACAATGTTACTTTCTGGTGTTGTTTATTATTTATTGTTGATAATCGGTTAGGTACAATGCTACTTACTGGTGTTGTTTATTATTTATTGTTGGAGCTCGGTTTGGTACAATGTTACTTACTGGTGTTCTTTATTATTTATTGGTGAAGCTCGGTTAGGTACAATGTTACTTACTGGTGTTGTTTATTATTTATTTTTAGAGCTCGCTAAGGTACAATGTTACTTTCTTGTGTTGTTTTTTATTTATTATTTGTGCACGGTTAGTTACAATTTAACTTGCTGGTGTTGTTTATTATTAATTGTTGGAGATCAGTTAGGTACAATGTTACTTACTGGTGTTATTTATTATTTATTGTTAGAGATCGGTTAGGTACAATGTTACTTACTGGTGTTGTTTATTATTTATTGTTGGAGACCGGTTAGGTACAATGCTACTTACTGGTGTTTTTTATTATTTATTGTTGAAGATCGCTTAGGTACAACGTTACTTACTGGTGTTGTTTATTTATTTATTATTAGAGCTAGGTTATGTAAAATATTACTTACTGGTGTTGTTTATTATTTATTGTTTGTGCACGGTTAGGTACAATGTTACTTACTGGTTTGGTTTATTATTCATTGTTTGAGCTCAGTTAGGCACAATGTCACATACTGGTGTTGTTTATTCTTTATTGTAAGAGCTCGGTTAAGCATAATGGTAATTACTGGTGTTGTTTATTATATATTGTTAGAGCTCGGTTAGGTACAATGTTACTTACTGGTGTTGTTTATTATTTACTGTTGGAGATCGGTTTGGCACAATGTCACATACTGGTGTTGTTTATTCTTTATTGTAAGAGCTCGGTTAAGCATAATGGTAATTACTGGTGTTGTTTATTATATATTGTTAGACCTCGAATAGGTACAACGTTACTTACTGGTGTTGTTTATTGTTTATTGTAACAGCACGGTTAAGTACAATTTTACTTACTGGTGTTGTTTATTATTTATTTCTATAGCTCGGTTAGGTACAATGTTACTTACTGGTGTTGTTTATTATTTTTTGTTGGAGATCGGTTTGGTACAATGTTACTTACTGGTGTAGTTAATAATTTATTGTTAGAGCACGGTTAGGTACAGTGTTACTTACTGGTGTTGTTTATTATTTATTGTTGGAGCTCGGTTAGGTACAATGTTACTTACTGGTGTTGTTTATTATTTATTGTTTGTGCACGGTTAGGTACAATGTTACTTACTGGTGTTGTTTATTGTTTATTGTAACAGCACGGTTAGGTACAATTTTACTTACTGGTTTGGTTTATTATTCATTGTTTGAGCTCAGTTAGGCACAATGTCACATACTGGTGTTGTTTATTATTTATTGTAAGAGCTCGGTTAGGTACAATGTTAATTACTGGTGTTTATTATTTATTGTTGGAGCTCGGTTAGGTACAATGTTACTTACTGGTGTTGTTTATTATTTATTGTTGGAGATCGGTTTGGTAAAATGTTACTTACTGGTGTTGTTTATTATTTATTGTTTGTGCACGGTTAGGTACAACGTTACTTACTGGTGTTGTTTATTGTTTATTGTAACAGCACGGTTAAGTACAATTTTACTTACTGGTGTTGTTTATTATTTATTTCTATAGCTCGGTTAAATACAATGTGAATTACTGGTGTTATTTATCATTTATTGTTAGAGCTCGAATAGGTACAATGCTACTTACTGGTGTTTTTTATTATTTATTTTTGGAGATCGGTTTGGTACAATGTTACTTACTGGTGTTGTTTATTATTTATTTTTAGAGCTCGGTTAGGTACAATGTTACTTACTGGTGATGTTTATTTATCTATTATTAGAGCTCTGTTAGGTACAATGTTACTTACTGGTGTTGTTTATTATTCATTGTTAGAGCTCGGTTAGGTACAATGTCACTTACTGGTGTTATTTATTATTTATTATAAGAGCTCGGTTAGGTACAATGCTAATTACTGGTGTTGTTTATTAATTATTGTTGGAACCCGGTTAGGTACAATGTTACTTACTGCTGTTGTTTATTATATATTCTTATAGCTCGGTTAGGTACAATGTTACTTAATGGTGTGGTTTATTATTTATTATTAAAGCTCGATTAGGTACAATGTTACTTACTGGTGTTATTTATTGTAAGAGCTCGGTTAGGTACAATGTACCTTACTGGTGTTGTTTATTATTTACTTTTGGAGATCGGTTTTGTACAATGTTACTTACTGGTGTTGTTTATTATTTATTGTTAGAGCTCGAATACGTACAACAATACGTACATGTGTTGTTTATTATTAATTGTTGGAGCTCGGTTAGGTACAATGTTACTTACTGGTGTTGTTTATTATTTATTGTTGGAGCTCGGTTAGGTACAATGTTACTTACTGGTGTTGTTTATTATTTATTGTTAGAGCTCGGTTAGGTACAATGTTACTGACTGGTGTTGTTTATTATTTATTGTCAGAGCTCGGTTAGGTAAAATGTTACTTACTGGTGTTGTTTATTATTAATTGTTGGAGCTCGGTTAGGTACAATGTTACTTACTGGTGTTGTTTATTTATCTATTATTAGAGCTCTGTTAGGTACAATATTACTTACTAGTGTTGTTTATTATTTATTGTTGGAGATCGGTTAGGTACAATGTTACTTACTGGTGTTGTTTATTATTTATTGTTGGTGATCGGTTAGGTACAATGTTACTTACTGGTGTTGTTTATTATTTATTGTTGGAGCTCGGTTAGGTACAATGTTACTTACTGGTGTTGTTTATTATTTATTGTTAGAGCTCGGTTAGGTACAATGTTACTTACTGGTGTAGTTCATTATTTATTGTTGGAGATCGGTAAGGTACAATGTTACTTACTGGTGTTGTTTATTATTAATTGTTGGAGCTCGGTTAGGTACAATGTTACTTACTGGTGATGTTTATTTATCTATTATTAGAGCTCTGTTAGGTACAATGTTACTTACTTGTGTTGTTTATTATTTATTGTTGGAGAT